AAATTGTATTCCCTTTGTGGTCAGATCTTCTCCAGCTGCGCTATCAGAAGTGAGTTATCAAAGCCAACTATCATTAGTTTTTATTTCTGAGTGACTTCAGAAGGCCACTGCAGTGTTGATCACAGCCTGACAACCATCTCCTCTCCACAGCAAAATAACCACTAACCTGACTGGGCCCCTCAGACCAAAGCAAAACCTCAAGGTAACCCCTTTATGAGCTTTTTTAGAGTAGGGAGAAAGAAAAAGCACAGTGGGAGCATGTCTCATTTTCTCATTTTTAGTCTTTTTCTTCCTCCAGATGTATTTAATTGAAATGATTTTTTTTCTTCTTTTTTCTTTTTTTTTCCTCTTTTTTTTTTTTTTCTTTGTAAATAAGAAGGGCACAGGATAGGTACCACAACGCAGAGGCTGAGTTTACTGCCAGCAGGAAAAGAAGACTGATAGGAAAGGGCTGCAAAGCCACACACGTCGAGTCATCCAAAACAGCAGAGAGCTCTGGGAACAGACATAAAGTCTGAGCTGCTCTTAACTCTTGTTACACAGCTGGTTGAATTCCAGCTATGGCCACAGTGAACACACTTCTCTGTCTGCACTGGGAGCTTCGGCTTTGCAGGGGGTTCTGTAGGGTTAATGCAAATCAGAGAGCACCCTGTCACGCCTCCAAGGGCAACGACATCTGGCTGGCTGGGTGTGAGAGCAAAGCACACAGAGTGAAATTAAAAGCTCTGGTTTGTCTTCTTGTTTCACTGTTATTTCAATTCCGTGCAGTTTCAATGATCTTTGCTGTTGGACATCGCCAAATGATTCCACAGGTGATGGTGGTGGAGTACCTTTGCTAGCCGGCTGTGGGACCCTTTCAGTTCATTTTTTGAAGACATGAAGCAATCAAAAAAGAGGAGAAAAGTGTAAAACAAAGCCAGTGGCTCAACACATTTATTTATAAGGCAATTTCAAACAACGAGAAAATTTCTGTAAGTTACACACGTACATTTCAAACAACACTAAATTCAAGTCAGGCCTTTGTTGTTCTCTTTGTTGCCACCACCCGTGTGTTTGTTTTCTTTTTGCACAGATAAAGCAATAAAATGTCCCTAACCAAACGAAGCAGGAGTGGCTCCAGCAGGGAGATGGAGCCAACAGACGTGCAACATATGGGATGTGCAGCCGCCAGGTGAAGGATGCTCAGTCCTGTATCAGGCTGTGGCACAGCCCTTTCTTCTCAAGCAGACACAGCTTAAGCTGCAGCCCTGGGTTTCAGTACTTCAGTGCGCATAGGCAGAGGGAGGGACAGATGTAATTCTTGATGATCCGTTGGGCTCACTGGTGAAATGATTGCTGCAGAACTCCTCAAATGAAAAGTAACAAAATCAGGTGCGGCACTAATTTTCAGGGCAGTGCCTTGGCCACGATTTCAGCCCGGCATCCTGGCAGGCAACAGCGGCATGAGAACAAATGAGACAGCACTGTCTCCACACAGAGTGGATGAAGCACCAGCTTCATGTCAAAGCTCACAGCTCAGCAGATTGCTTCATCAATGGCAACCGCACTGCTGGCAGCAGTCAGTCCTTTCCCTGTACAGATATTGAAGGGAAAAGGCTATTGCCACACCTCCATCCTGGAGATGAAATGCAAAAGTAAATTAAAATTTCTGTGGTAAATGCTTAATGAGCAAGGCTGATAATCAAAGGTTGGGGTGTAGCATTTCTGCTGCGTTTAAACGACACGGAAGTTATCTGCAAGGCGCCATACAAATGCAAACAACAACTTCAAAGAGCAATGGCAGCTTTTTGCTTTCTTCTCCCTGGCTAGCATCACTACATGCCTGTGTACGCTTTGTAGTACTTTTTTCCACCTTGACAATTTAATTTTTTGTTTGCTTTTTTAAAGGAGAAGAAAAAAGAAACACAAAACTTTTGCTTTAATGATATGCACCATGATGAACTTGAAAGAGGCTTACAGAAACAGAGGCTGGCGTTTCTGTATGCACCAGTCAGTTGCTAGTGATTGATCTTGGGAGCCAGGCTTCATTTTCTAAGCAAAATAAGCTTGGAAATGAGCTTTGCAGCTGGCAAAATCTGATTAAAGTGAGCAGAGTTTCATCTGATGTGGCTGTTGCCACTCAGTTCACCATAACGTCTCACTTTAACTACAGAGGACCTGCCGAAGACAGAACAAAAAGTATGCGTCAGCTTATAATGCACCCTTCTAGAAGTTTAAGTGTTACTAATAGGCCATCAAGCTGCTCAGAAGCCAGTATGCAATGATAAATCAATGTGTATAAGTGAGTAAGTCAATGTGTAGAATAAACTATATAGGACAAATTCCTATGCAAAATGAACTCCTATACAGCTTGGCTCAGTGATCCTTGCCCCGTAATTTTTGATGGCTTGGGGCATCCAGGTGTACAGAGGCTTCTCCTGCAATGACAAAGCTTGAAGATCCTGGCATGGCCTAAAATTGCTGATGCTCATCGTTCTGCTCTCCAGAAAGGACTAGCACTGCTCTGTGCTGCTTCCCAAGAGTTCCTTTTCCTCTCATTTCTGAGGAAAGGGCAGCAGTGAGAGAGGGAAGATTGGGCAAAATTACATTTGAAGAGGTGCAAATATAAAAGCGACAAGCTCAGCGACAACAAGTTTCATTCCAACAGCTATTTGCAGAACAGCTTCTCTGCAGGATAACTAATGAAAAGGTCCCATGCACAGAAAACAGTCTATCATGTTAAAATAAAGAGTTCCGAAGCTTTGAAGTGTTGTGTATCTTCAGAAATAACCTGTACTCGGAAGGAGAGAGCGGAAACCCCACAGCTCCTAATTCTTGTCAAAGCTGGAGCCCAGGGCCACAGCAAGGAGCATGGCAGCCATCAGCACTTGTACAAATCTCCCCCAAAACCTTAATTTAAATTACTCTCGAACATTAAAGGCTGGCATTAGCCTACAAGTCTTTGCAACTGCATTAATTATTGTGGCAACATGCAGAGCTCTGTAATTGGCTCCTGTCCTATAGCACAGAGCAGGGTTTATGGGTTAAGATGGTGGCAGGATGATGATGATGACAATTCCTATTGCAAAACCCAACCCTACCCAACAGGCACAAGTGTCAGCGCTGTGCCTGCTGCTCTACGTAAGCATTATCCACCATGGTGGGTTTCATGGGACTTCAACATTGGCTTCCTTTCATTTTGTTTGTTCTGCTGAAATTCTGCCTCTTTCATCTGCCAGATGCCAGACAACTCTTGCAAGGGATCTAATCTATCATTCTTTAATTACTGTATTTACACAGGGATTTAGAAATGGCTTGGCAGAATGGGCTTGTTTCTCTCATCTGAGCATTCGCTCTAAAAGCACAGGTCTAAGCCCAAAGCTGCCAAGCTGCCATTATAGCTGTGACATGTCCTTGTTCCACAGCATGTCTCCTTCCAGCAGCCTGCAAGGAGCAAGGGCTGTGCTGCCTGCCACGTGCACCAGGGAGGGGAGAAGGACGGGAAAATCAGCACATCATTGACTATTAAATTGTCAATCAAGTTTAATGCATCATAAAGAAGAAAAAACTACATTGGCATATTTAAGACAAACACTTTTTTTCTATGCACACTATCCACTGGACAGTCCCTTTCTCAAAATAACTACTTTTAACAGCCCAAGACACTTCTTCAGAAATTCTTCACATACTCAACCATTCGCACTTTTCATTTTTTTAATTTGTCTGAGAAGGAAAAAAAAAAAAAAAAATCATTAAACCTGAAAACATTTACATTGCAAGCCACGTTAGAATGCATAATAGGCATACAATAACCAATGTATAACAATTGTGTTTTACTTAGTTCACTTTGTTCATCGATAAAAGAATATAAAAATCTTGTTCAACCGAGTGTTGTGTATTAAAATAGATTTGTATAGTACTGCACAGTTTCTCCCGGAGTTGTGAAAATGGTTGAAGGGACCATGTGCTGCCTAGTGATGGGCGATGGAAAAAGCCAGTCCCTCGCGTGTGGGGTTTTGTTTTTTTTTTTTTGCTTTTTTTTTTTTGCTTTTTTTTTTTGTTTTGCTTTTCTAAAAATAAAAAAGATATTCGGCACCATGTGATACGCTGATGTGAGAGACTAGCCTTGTGCCGTGCTCTGGTGGCTTCCTGCTTTCCTCAAGTACCTGTTGCACCAATTGATGAAGAACTCGTAAGCAACAGAGGCGATGGCAACTGGTGGGGGTGATGCTGAGACAACCGGGTGCCCGTTTCACTCCCCGTCCAGCACGAGGCTGGGGAAGACGGGTGGACCCGTGGGGTCAGGAAGACTACAGGTGAAACAGCAGGCGTGCGAGGCTTGCCAGGCCAATGCCACGCACTTCCCAGTGTGCTAAGAGCCAATAGAACCTTAAATAGGAGTCAAGTTTCCAAAAAAAGAGGAAAAAAACGACCAACAAACTCTTATAATTTGCCACAGCCCGTCCCTCCCCCAAAGCTCTTGATATTACTCAGTATGAGAAACAACCCCATGAGGCAGTTATTTTTTTTTTTTTCCTGTACCATTTTGGCAGATAGTTCCGCAAGCAAAAAGGAAAATCATAATAATTAAAAAAACAAACAAATGTATTTTTAACAATAAAAACGCAGTACAAAAATGTGAAGTTATCTTTTTGGCATTTTATCTGTACTGGTAAGAAACAAAAAAAGCAGAATATTTATTTGCTTTTTTCTTCAAATTAAAAAAAAAATAAAATCAAATACTAACAAAATACCCCAAAACAATCTGTTTAAAAAACGAAACCCAATCTGCCAAAGATATCCACTATTATGGTTTATGCTAAATCTTGCACAAAAACTCCATGAGAAAAATACACCAATAGCAAAATAAGTAAAAAGGACCTGCAAAAAAGTAAGGAGTTTTACAGTCATACTTTTTTAAATACTTCGGAACGCATATACAGAAGCATCAGCATGAAAATACTTCAATATTTTACTAGAAATGCTAACTTCATACAGTTTCTTTATTTAAATATCTGCAATTCTCAACTTTAATAATACTGAAAAAAAGGATCTTTTGTTTCGAAGGCTCTGTGAGTGTCCGTTCTGGTCAAAGCGGCCCCAGCTTCAGCTCGCCCGAGTCAATGGGGCCAACCTCGTTCCTCTGATAAAGAATCCATGTCAGGTCCTAAGTAGCTCAGTTTCCTTTGACGTCACCGTTTTCCCTCCCACAAACAGCTCTCAGCCCAACTACATACCCACTAGCTCACTAACTCTTTGCATTTTAATCTCCCCCCTTAGAGCAGAACTGCAAAACCGCCTGCTCCCCGCTAAAAGGATATTCCACTTCCTTTCTATCGGCCATGCTCTTCCTGCTCATCCTGCCATAAGTACATTAAGGCCAACATAACAACAACAAAAAAAATCTCATAAGCACTGAAGGTCTCGGCAAACAACGCTGCAGTGCGCTGCGCTCCCTGGGAAGCTGCCGCCACAGCGACTACAAGTGGGACCGACGGGCCTGCAAGTTGCAATGCATATAAACCCCGAGACCGCTCTTTCCTTCTGCGTCTGTCCCCTTTCTCTTCGTGCCCGGGTGCAAAGTCTGTCCCCCTTCCATGGCTGTCCTGTGGCGGCCCGGTCAGTTGTGGCCCTGCGAGTGCTGCAAGGTCTGGTGCATGGCGGCGGAGGCCGAGGAGGGCTTGATCCAGGGCATGGTGAGCAGGGACGAGGTGGTGGTGGTCGTCATGGTAACCTGAATCATCTGCTCGTTTTGTATCAGTCTAATGAGGGTTCGGAGACGTTCCAGCGATGACTGAGTCCCCTTCTGCTGGGCTAACAGGCTGCTTTTTAGCTCTAAGCATTTCTGTCAAACAAAGAGAGAGAAGGGAAGGCTGAGAATGCATTCAGATTGGTGTCAAACATCTCTCAAAACATCCTTTTGTGTCCTGAGTGCACGTCCTCCTCAAATGAAGTTATATTCTCCTGTGAGGATAGCAAAAGCAAAACGAACAGGGCGATCACACACACTGCAGCCATAGCAGCAGCTGTCTGAGCTAACAGCCTTCACCCATGTCCACGTGCATTCAGAGAACACTTCTGACTGCACTCTGTAACAAGCTTCCTGCATTCAGAGATGTCATTGGCACAGGATTCACAGAAACAGAGTCAAAAGGGTTAGAAGGGACAACTGGAGATCACCAAGTCCAACCCCTTGCTAAAGATGGTTCCCTGCAGCAGGTGGATTTTGAATATCTTCAAAGAAGGAAACTCCACAACCTCTCTGGGCAGCCTGTTCTATTGCTCTGTCATTCTCAAAGTAAAGAAGCTTTCCTTCATGTTCTTATGGAACTTCCTGTGTTCCAGTTTGTGCCCACTGTCATTGGACACTACCAAAAAGAGCCTGGCCCCATGCACTTGGCCCCTGCCCAGATATTAGGGAGCCAGTACTGCGAAGATAAGTTGTTCTCTTCAAACATTATGTCAATATTTTGGCAGAAAACTTAATCTAAGACCCTAACGTTGTACCACAACAGTCACAAGAAATTCTTTTACCTTCAGGGTGATCAAACTGCACCCCACCATCACTTGAAACATTTCACGCAAATCTACATAAAAATGAGAATGAGAGTAGGAGCTAAACAAAAGCATTTTGAATCTCCAAGAGGGAGTAAAGAAGAATCCGTAAGCCTCCCTTCTCTCTCCAGTTCTGTACTGCTGCAGCTGCTATCGCATCCGCTAAACATCATCTGGCCTGCAAGGGACTAAGTGATTGATCAAACACTTGAGTCTGTCTGCTAGGTGGAAGGGGATGGCCTCTAACATCTGACACCTCCTGGTTTCCTTCTCCCATCGGTCTTGACCTGGCTGCGACTCATCTGCATACTCCTTTCCTTTGACTACCTGGAGCGTGGGAGCCTACAGCTCAAGGAAAGTGAGAAACGCTCACCTGAAAGTCAAGTAGTTCAAAAAGACACTGTGAGAGCTGCTCAGTGATTGGGTGTTAGACAAATGAAATCTCAGGTGAAAGATACACCACATTCTGCTTTGAACAAATAAAACCATTTCACCTGGGATATGTTTACAACTTCTCTCTTCAATGTAAATCTCTATCAAGGAAAATGTCAGGAATTAATTACTCTGCACTGGAACGCCTCTAATTGTTTTTCTCCTTTCAAGTGGACTGCAGTATATCTCCAGTATATATATTATATCTCCAGTAAATATAATCATCAGCTAATTTTACTATTTAAAAAAGATTCTTTCCCACTGAAAGAACTCAGTTCTGCTTATGTAGAAATTTTTTGACTTTGACAGTACCGACATAAACCCAATAACTGAATCCATCCCAAATGCTTTTCTTTGTATGATCACCTCATGCCACTGTACTCTCCTAACCACTGAAGATCTTTCCTACCCCGGTCACTTCTCCATACATATGTTTGTTTCCATTAGCGCTGATGGTGGCTGTGCACACTTAGAGGGAATATCCCACACTGCGATGTCTTTTAATAAGTTATTGCTTTCCTTTCCATTCTATTTTGAATGTGATAAATATTTTAGCATGCTTCCTCTGGGTAACTGCAGTGGTAAAACAAGGAGTGACCAGTCACTCCTGCAGCTGCCACTTTGATTCTTCCAGGGGAAAGAAGTTTCAAATATTTATTGAGCCTGCCACACAAACTAACAGCTATCCCTTAAGAGTGGGCATGAGGTGAGCTAGTACCAAATAAGCTCCTTCATCTACGGAAGTCAGGGATCAGGCCTGTCATTACTGCCAGACACTGGCCCTCATAGCACAGTACATACGGAAGACGTCGCCAGCCTACATTAAGTTTGAAACGCAATCACAGAGGAAATGGTTGGGAATCCATTTTCACTCATGGAGAGGTTGTCACACCATTCAACCTCAAAGGCAAATAAGGATTGCTACTTCTACCTGATCTCAGGAGTTTTGGAGCAGCTACCACTGGAGCACACACTGATCTTTTCATCTGAAGGATGGAAGTATCTTACTGTCATCAGACAGATCAGAGCTGTGTACAGCACCACAAGGAAGACAGGGGAACCTATTTTGTGTTTTTATGCCTACAACAGGAATTCAGTCACTGGTGATTTCTTCTCCTCAGGTTGCCCAGGGAACTTGCTTTTGCACATAAAGGAGGCCCACGTTTTTCCTCAGACAGAAGAACAAACACACTTGAACTTTTGTAGCTTGGGAGCATAAATAATCTTCTAGCCACGAACTACCAGTTTTTCAACCATAAAGTCTTTATAAACATCTCAGCAGGAGACTAAGTCCCCAGTCAGGAGTCCTACCTTCACTGCATTGTTAAGAAGTCGATCTTTTTCTTCTAACTGTCTGTGCTCACTCTTCAGCTCGCTGCTTCTCTTCAATAACTTTCGTTTCTCTTCTTCTTTGACTGGAACAATAACATTAAGGATGTACAAGTTAAGAAAAGGTAATATAACAAAACTGTGTGCTTGACAATACCAAGCATGCATTTTGAAAGGCAAGTTTCTGATATCAGTAGCCTTTTGTCTGCAGATACAGCTGAATAAACCTAGAATTTCTGTTTGCATGGATGTGTCTGTATCAAAGGCCAGCACACAGGATGATCCAAAAAGCTACAGTGTGATAGAATTAATGATTGGACCACATATGGCCCTGAAGTCTCCAAGAAAAAGGTGAAAGATATTTAGGAACAGGTCAGCCACCCGTAATGACTCAGGTTCAGTGATTCTGGGTGAAAAGCACAGACCATAACAGTGTCAGATTCTGCAAAGCTCCTCTCAAATACACTGTAATGCCCTAAACAGCCCATTGTAAGAGTGCAGCAGGAAATGAGTCAATGCACGTACATTATTTGATACAAATGACTTTGATACCAAATAATACCAATGTAATTAGAGACTGATATTACTACAGAATCTGAGATATTAATCTGGCAAAGTGTTGCAGACCCAGCTGTATGCCCCTCCCTAGCCTGATCATGCCTTTCTGCCTCCCAGCTTGGTATATAATTGTGCCTCAAAATCCCATTTTCTTTTACCAGGAAGTCACCACTTTCATGACAGCCTGAGTGAAATTTCACTGAGTGAAATTCCTCAGAGATTGATCTCAGATTCCTCAGAGTAGACAGAGAAGGAGCAGAGACAGAGAAGGCAACAGAAAGCCACTTGCCGTTCTCAGCCACAGCTCCTTATGGTGCTTTGAAAAATAGTCACATTGCAACACTGCTTTAATATCAGTGCCATGAAGTATTCAAATGGTATCGACCATCACGAGCAAAGAATCCCTTCTCAAAAGCCATATCAATCCCTACCTGTTTTGTGAGTGACATAGGAGTGAACAATAGCTAGAGTTCCAGACCATGGCACATTGTCATCCTTCTTTAACACCTGTAAGCCCAGGAAACAACAAAAAGTTAGGACTTCACAAAGGCACACATTAATATTTTCATTCCTTCAGCCTCACAGGTCTGCAGGACCAGCTCTAGAGTTCCTGTCTCAGAATTCACAAGATGAAAAATAATGAAGTAGAAACTTGTGTAGCAATCTCCATTGGGCCTTACTTCTTTCCATATCTCTAAACTGATCAACCAGGACTAAAGAGGGTAACAAAGCCTCTGCTTCTTGTTGCCATGACCAGAAAACATCTCTCAGCCCCTGATCAGCAGATGTTCATGCTGTCGGGAGTATCATGGGAGAGTTTGGGGGCTTACATGAAAATATGACTGCGTAGATCTAACACAGGACAGCTCTGTTCTCTACAGCTTCATGCTAGAATTTCCTCTCAATATTTTCAAAGGGTAACAAACAGTAATCCCAGGGCAAAACAGAAAGAAATCTAAGGCACAAAATCTAAGCCTCCACTCTACAATTTAGTGACACTGTACTGTTTTAGTAATTATTTTACTCTTCTTACAATCAGCATTATTCACAGCAATTAGATAAATTAGCACTCCTGATCATAGCTATGATCAATAAATATCATATAACAAACATGATTTAAAGAACATGATGTGATCTCCTTATAGCTTTCAGATCTACTGGTGAAGCCTATGCTTCTGGCAATGTCTCCCTCACCCATAATGTTTACATTTTTTGTTTTGCAACATACATGTTGCTGGCCTTCTGGTAACAAAGAGAAACAAAGAAAATGAAGAGACATTTCTAATCTTTTTCCAGGACAAATCTCAGCAGATGTAATTATGGTGAGTCTAGGCATTCACTGTATGTTTTAAGTCTGGTACAATAAAAATACCAGAAATAAATGCTGCAAACTGTACTAAAACTCTCAGTATTACTCTATCAAACGCGGTCCCCAAAACTGTGATGTAGGTTAATTTAGCTTAGCGGTACACAAATTCGATGTTTCTCCTATTTTCTCTTCTTGGTGCACTATGCCTCATGCAGCTTACCTTCTGTTGGCACTTTGGACAGACCCAGACCCCCTTGGGGGCAGTTTTGAGGGGTGGGTCCAAGCAGTTGAGGTGATACGCCCTGGGACACGTGCCACAGGGCTGCAAGTTAACGCCACGCTTGCAAGCAGTGCAGTATTCATCATGGTGGATCTCATTCTGCAAGAGAAAAGCAAGGATGGCTTGGATCAAGTCAACCCACCAGGGCCTTCTCCCTGGGCAGCAATCACAGACACTACTACAGCAGCCAGTCTCATTCAAAGACATATCTATTGGTCAGAAACACCCTGGCCACTGAAGAAGACAAGAGAAATAACGGTGTACGAATGCAAATACAAACAAATGAGCCAGCAGCAAGTTCCATACATTATAACAGAAAAAATAAGAATCAAATTATCAAACAGAGCAGAGAATGAACTAATATAGCCAGATTGTAGTGCAGGAATTATTTCACTTGTTCTTGATAACGTGTATCTGACTCATATATCACCACGTGTAGCTCTATTTTGAAGCATGGGTCAAAGTGTGATTCACTTGTCCTTCAAGTCCAAAACAAAAGGAAGCAAGAAAGCAGAAGTTTCTGGGGAAAAAGCACAGTTCCATGTTTTATGCACATTGCCTCAAAGAGCAGCTAGGAAAATTGTATGCTTGAGAACAGCCTTTTCCTACGTACCCTTCTTTTGTGAACTCCTCTAGAGGGCTCCCCCAGCCCTCTATTCTCCCTGTTGTCAATTGTTTTCTGTTCAGAATCTGACAACCTTTCTCCAACAAGACTGATTAACACTTTGTCTGAAGCAATATATAACATGAACTAAGACTCATCAACAAAGTTACAATGTCATGTAGTAAATTGCTATGCTAATGTAGCAGCAACGTTAATTACTCTTTGTATAATTAAGTGCATTTTAATAAAGGAGAGGCTGATTTTGAAACTCTGGTGGTTTGTGAATCTTTATATTAAAAAATCTAATTTTTCCTAGTACTTTTCCAGAAGGAAGAATAATAATATTGCACCTTTGTTAATTCCAAAAGCGTACTTTTTTCATTTTTAGGGATATTCCTTATAATGTTTCATGATAATTTTAGTTAGACTTACATCCCGAATTCTAAATCAGTCCTGTCAAAAAAAACAGCTCTCCAAAGTACTAACATTTTAAAATTATCTTCTCAAAAAGTTTGAACTCAAGATTGAGAGATTTAACCTATACAACATATAATGGTCACTCATTTTTTCTTAAAATGGTCATTAAAAGCACAAATCTGGACTAGCAGTTTCTCAGGGGGGATTCTACAAAGGGATGAAACTCCAGCCTTGCTCATGCAAGCCCACAAAATCCTGCCTCTGAAATTCTAACTCAGAGGCTCAAAGATTTAGTCAAGTGAGGAATGTTTCACAAAAACAATATGAAAGGCAAAGAGCATCCTGCAGTCCTGTACCTTGATGGAGACTACAGTAATCAGAAGACAGCACTGAGTTACACAGTGATGAAAAAAGACACCTGTAATACACAAAGTTTGCTACACCTACCTTCCAGAATGGATCCTCATTTGCTAGCATATGGAAAAAGGACAGAGAACAGATTAGTGGGAAATATGTTGCTGAAATGAATGCTAGTTCTCTGCTATAGGAAGGAAAGAATTTTAGTCAAGCTGAGATGCAGGAGATCAGGGCACTGTCACAATTCAGCGCCAGTGAGTATTTTTCAAATTAAAATTTTCAAATTTACACCATAGCAGCCCTGTGCCCAAAGGTCTGATGCTAACATGCCACTGTATGAGAAGCACAGAGTCTACTTGAAATTTTCAAGAAGATTCCTGTGGAACTCTTCTCCACACGTCATCAATCTGGAAGCCTTCCTTAAGGACCTCAGCCTGCTGGGTGATGAACTGCTTGGCCATGCACCAGCAAGGCACTTATACAGTCGCTTATCTTGGGAAACAGAAGTGGTGCTACTGACTTACTGTTAAATATATAGGTGTTCAGCTGATTCACAGCCAAAATGCTCAGCCACTTGTGGGAGTGAGCTCTGTGTTTTCATCAGCTCTTTATCATCAATCTGCTTCCACCCAAATCCCTGTGATTTTTTTGACCTTTGGATGAACTGTCTTCACAGGCTGATAGGAAAAAGAACCACCAGAGCTCACTGGAAAACAGGCCAAGTTTTCATTAAAAAATATTTCTGAAATTCATTATGCTCTAATCCAAAAATAAAGTTTGAGACATTTTTAATAGCTTTATGAGAAGTGCAGTGGTTTCGTGATTTTTGCTGCTGACTCATAAGAGAACTGATGCGGTGTTTCAGTGACAAGCAGCTGATGGCTTTCCTTCAGATTGACGTGGTGACAGCCAAACTAGAATTCTGTCCTTAATTTCTTCAGCTCCCTCTCTGATCACAGCTGGGAACACAGCTGCCCCAGTGTGCACTCACATGTACCAAGCAGCTTAGAAGCTGTACATGTACAGGTGAAGACATGTATGCAGTATGCTCACAGATATGTAAAAACAAGAACATAAGAACAAAGGAACAGCTTCATCTCAGTTAGCCTACAGAGACCAAAATCCTTTGCTAACAGCATCCCATGTTGCTGGTGCCCAGGCTTAGAGTGCAGGAACTGGGCATGCACAGCATAAATTGCTTTTCTCCAGAGGTATCCTTCCAGAGACTAACAGCAGTTTAAGGCTTTCCTTAAACTGGAATTTGCATCTTCACCTTTATATTCAACAACCTTAGAAGGGTTCTTCCATAAATTTGTCAGCTTTTTCCAACAATTGTCGCATCCTTTGGCAATGAGTTCCATAAAATCTGCAGATGTCACTGCACATATGCAAAAACACACACACAGATCCTTCGTTATATGACACTATGATTACTCAGGGGACATAAATGTTATTCAGACAAACAAGGGCTTGGTAATTGAAGAGTCTCTTCTACAAATGATGTATGTCAGGGGATGCGACCTCATTTCAGGTAAGACATTTTCAGATAAATGAATCTTGATTAATTGACATTTCGCTGGAAATTTACAAGAATTGTTCTCTTCTGCATTTCTGGAAATGACAGTTGTTTCCTGTACTTCATAGGGATTTTTTTCATTTGTTTATTTCTCTTTTCAGTTCAGTTTTGATGTAAAGTTTCTGACATTTTAAAATATGACCAATTAAACTGAAGACAAATGTTCTAAAGGAGCGGTTTATTATAGGAGAAGGGGAAATCAGCAGTCCACTATGGGCAGACATCTACACCTCTCTTATTCCAAGCTGTCTGGGGACAGTGACTGACTTCAGATCAGAGCTTACACCTCATCTTGCACAACGGCACCCAGTGCTAACACTGTTGTTCTCTCCAGATGCATGTTTACAAGGGAAAAGCAAGTGCCGGGATAAGACAAATAATAATGTTGATTTTTCAATAAAACTGAGCCAGGGATAACATTCTTTCAACTTGGACTCACAAGAGCATGGGTCCTGCTAAGAGGCATGTCATCATGGTAGCTTACTGTATAATAACCTCTCTTGTCCTCTGAGACCCCAGGCACTAGAGGCATATGGTAAGTAGGCCAATTGTCTGCATCTAGAACATCACATTTTGGATATAGAGAAGCACCATAGCATTTTAGTTGGTGATCTCATGGAGCAGCAATTCAAGGCAGTGCCAAAAAGGTGGCTCTAAACATGACACTTGACAGGTATACCAAGAAAACCCTGAAAAGATGTCTTAATTGAAGTCTTGATTGAAATTACTACCGTAAATGCTCCAAAATCTGAAATAATAATTGGATCAGAAAAAAAATGCTGTCCCTTACCGTTAATGCACCACAGTAAAACTTAAGTTATGAAGGCAAAACAAGGGCAAGGAAATACAAAAATGCTTCCACTGGCTTTCTCTCCTTTTTGACATGCAGCTCAAGCTTCTTTGTCTTTTAAAATCCTATTTGGGCCTCATCTAAAGAATTAAATTGTACTGTGTGCTCTCTTTGTTTCAACTCCCACCTCTCAATACTCTGCATATTGCACATTTCTCCAGGAATTAGCTTCTTCACATAAGCTAATTATCATCTCAAGTGGTTCCTCTCAGTTGATCATTCTCAAAGATTTTACCATGAAACTTTCAGCATCTGAAGTTCTCCTAAGTACAAGATTGGCAGGCATCTTTAAGGCCATCAAATCTAGTTTAATTGCTCCAGCTCTTAGAGTGAGAAAAACTGTGTGTTTTGGCCACTGTTTTTAAGGCAAATGGTAAGGTAAATTTCTAGCCTTTGAAAGTAGATAGCAGTTTCTTAAAGCTGACAAAAAGAAGCAAATGAAAACTCCAGAATAGCAATTACATTTAGATCCAATTTTCAATACACGTTTTTAAGCATTTGGGGCTGGCAGTGCTATCTTCTTGAATCAGTCCTCTCACTGGATGGTGCTTGCAGTGCTAGAGACCAGATTTACCATTCATTGCAGAGACTTTGGATCCATTTCTACACAGCTGTGACCTTTAGCTTTATTCTTTATAATTATTATTTCATTTATTTATTTATTTTGCAGGAAAAGCATCTATATTCACTCCACACTAAAAAGTTCAGGGTTCTTACACAAAGTAATACCCTATAGTATCCCAGTAGCAATTCATATGAAATCCTACATGTATTTAAATATTTAATATGCAATTAATATTTAACAATAAATATTTAACATGTAATTAGAATAGTAGTATATTGACTTAAAAATATGCTTACCTCTTGTTGAAAGGAACAAGGGGTTATTCAAAAAATTTGATGCAAGACGTTTCCGCTGGATGGGAAAAAAAAACACAGTATCATAGCATTATTGAAAAGTGCTCTAGTTGTCTCTTACTGTCACATACAGATTATTTCCATGCGCTCTCTCATACATAACGAAGTATCCAAAAGCCAGGCTAGTGTTTTAGATTATTCATTGCTAACCCCTAACATGGCCATATAAACGGTTGCCTTATTTACCTCTCTAACAGTTTCCTCATAGAGCAGTTTCATGTACATTAGATTTTATTAACAAGAGAAATGCAAATTGGAAATGTTATTGATTGCGTTTCAGGTTATGTTGCAAAGGCTCAAGGCAACAGCAACAGTAACTCCAAACCTAACAAATAAACAATGTCTATAAAGGAAAAACTGCATAATAAATTCTTGCTGTGAGATGACATCTTTATTTGCAGGTGGTGAAACGGTGATGGACTTCCCGGCTGCAGAAACACATCACTACCTTCTATGACACTTGCTCACAGTTAGCTGGAATATATTTTGTTTGCAAGCAATGCATTACTGTCCAAGTTAAATATTTCTCTTTCAGAAGTTAACATGTATGTCCTTTAGGAGTGGGTAGTTGTTTTCAATTACTGAGGTCACCAAAGAACTTCACATTTGCAAACACAGCCCACTGGAAACATGACTGAGATGTTAACAGAGATGTAATGCAGTCCATCACCAACTTATCAGATTGTAAAAGCTGTTAGTCAATAGCTACTCGGGCTTCATTGACAGTCTACATAACACCTAATTGTTCCTCTCCACCATCCTTGTACAGCAGGACTGCAAACAGTACCATTAGATGTTATAGTCTGCTTGAAGGAAAATTAGAAGGTTTTTGCTAATAAATGTTTTATTCTGTGGTGAGTAAACTGTTCTTTTATACACAGATGCCTGGCAGCCTCTTAATGAATTCTAAATTAATGTTTATTTCTTCAAAATATCCAGCCTGAAACGTAACTCTTTCCAATGCAAAGAAAGAAAAAGAAAAAAAAAAGCACCCAACCAAACAAAACCAACACCACCAACAAAACAACAACACAACAAAGACACAAACCAAACCAATCAATCAACCAAGAAACAAACAAACAAACAAACAAACAAACCTAGGTGTTGACAGTGGGAAAGCAATGTCTCAAAAACATTTTTAGGGAAAAAAAGAAAGCCTCAAAAATGATATGCACAACATTCAACTGAAAATTGTGATCACACTTTTGTAATCAAGGAAGTCAACATCACCACTACAGAGGCTGAGCTCCTGCCGTTTTGAGGGGCGTTGGCAAATAGAAAGTCTAATTTATACGCAATTCCAATTTAAACAATCATGAATTAAAGATCATTCAGTAGACTAACCGTAAATTAAACCGCACCAAAATGCCTGAAATGCCACAAAATATCTCAACTCACTGATTAGCGAATCAATCTGAGCAGCTAATTGATCAGAGGAAAACCATCTGCCTCCATTTTACTTAAACAGCATTCCCCCTGGTCAGTATTTAATGATAGCTCCTAATGAGGATACCGCTGATCAGATATAGGACTCTTTCACAGACATTTTTTTTCCATGCTATCTCTCACTTCAGGATATGCTTTTGAGAATACATACAATGAGAAGTACAATCTAAGGGTGCAGCAGGCCTCTTCCATCACCCCTTCTATCCCTCCTCCAAGACAACTGAATTTCTCTTGAACACTGATCAGAATACAATCACAAAACTGCTGCTTCTTAATAAACTTGTTGGGAGAAAAAGGTCTTATGAGAAGACACTACAAATGTAGTGCTAGCAAGCCTACAATTTCGGCTGTGTTAAACACTGGATGTATGAACATCAGTATTTGCAATGAAGAGGTGGCTGGAGAAAAACTGAGGAGTTTTGAATAATTCAAATTCCCAGAGATGTTCTGGAGAATAAAAATCTCCAATGCTTTCAAAAAAGAACAGTCAGTTCACTAAGAAGTTTGACTACTACTGATAGGCTTCTTCTTAGTCTTATGTGTCTGCTACCTGCCAACAAACACAGAAATCTGAAATTTCGGCATACCAAAAATTTCACATTGCTGATACCCACATACAAAAAAAATCACTTTATTTAGGCTTTAAGAACTTAGAACACGAAGGGATCTTAATTAAATAGAGAGCTGCCTGTGAATCAGTTTTATTTTTATAGGAAGCTCACATAGCAACCCTGAGCTGCGGTGAAACGTTAAAGGTGGAATTTTAATGTGCTGAATAAATCTGTATTTCTCAGTTCAAAAACAAAATGCAAGTTTGAAAACACTTCTGTTCTCCAGGTATGATCTAAAAGGACCGTCTGTATAGGTAAAGGAGTAATTAGATCCCACAAAAAATTGGTCCTTTTGGCCTTTACTAAAATCAACTTGAGTTCAAGTCTGAAGCAAATGATGTTATGGGGAGAAAATCTGTTGCTTGGCTACTGAGATGAAAATCTGTGTGTTTTTTTTCTTCACATCAATACCCCTTTACAAGTGAATGTGTGGTTCTGTATTCACATCTATGTTTGTAATAAGAAGCACTTTTAAACATTTTATTGACATGAAAACAGTGGCAAAAGAAAAAAAAAAAAATAAGAAGTGAATGATCAAGTACCTCTGTTTCCAAGAGTCCACTGTAGGCTGGATTTGCTGTGCTTCTTCTCTTCCTTTCCTGACGTTTGCTCTGAATTTCTGTAGACATAGAAAGAAGCATAAATTGTGTATTTCTCATTCATCGGGGAAAAATTCAAATCTAACTTGTTAAGCAAAATGCTTTTATCCTCAATCCTTTGGGTTTTATGTTCAGTTTCAGTTTCTAAAGTGTTAATTGGGTTGCAGCAGCACTGATACTTGCTGCAGTTCAAGGCCTGACGTTAATAAGTTTTGCCTTGTAAGATTCAGAACGTGTCATTTTTTATTTTTCCCCTCCTTCACAGTGGACTTGTGCTTCCCTACAAGATTTTTATGATGCTCCCTCAACACACACATTTAGCAATCATCAAGCTTTCAAAATGCTATCAATGTCTGCTATTAACAAAACAGAGTATATAAAGCAGTTAAACCTTGAAAGTTGTATCAGATGAGAGAACAGAAATCCTTTTAAGTTTTGTTGACATTACTTTTTCTCCATGGAGACTAGAAAAAGTAGTCAGAATTGCATGGCTAGACTCAGCTCTAACTAGGGCACTATGACTTATTCATCCAAAATACACAACTTCACAGTCCCGAGCAAAATGTTGCTGTGAGCCATACATGGCACTGCACCACTGGAAACAGCAGCACATAGTTGGTCTCACTGAGCTGCAGTCCTGTCTTGAAAAGGAGGAAATACATAACTCTCTCCCACTAAAGGGCAACACCTATTGAAGATGGCACTTACTCAGGACTGCACTTAGTTAAAATCAGTCGTGTGTACGCTTCTGGAAACATGTACAGAAAGGAAGAGTGAATTCCTGACCCACTGAAATCTGCAAGCTTATTGCTGCTTTTATCTGAACTAGGATTTCATTTCTGTCACATGGAATTTCTTCTTCCAGATCTTTACGTCAGCTCAGAACAGCAAGATTATAAGAGTGTATTTTAAAGCCTACTTTTAGTAAAATTCACTAATAAAGAAAGAGCAGATATTAACAAGGAGAACCAGCCAACATCCACTCCATGACATGAAAAGCCAACCGTGTGCTGGGCTGCATCAAAAGAAGCGTGGTCAGCAGGTCAAGGGAGATAATTCTGCCCCTCTCCTCTGTGCTGGTGAGGCCTCACCAGCACCTACATCCAGATGTTGAGCCCTCAATACAGGAGGGAAGTGGACCTATTAGAGTGTGTCCAGAAGAGGGCCACAAAAAGTATGCAAGGCATGGAACACTTCCCCCACACGGACAGGCTGAGAGAGCTGGGGCTGTTAAGCCTGGAGAAGGGAAGGCTCCAAGGAGACCCCAGAGTGGACTTTCAGTATCTAAAGGGTTGCTGTAGGAAAGAAGAGGACAGATTCTTTAGCAGGGTCTGTTGCAAAAAGACAAGGGAAAATGGTTTCAAAATAAAAGAAGGGAGAGTTAGATTGGATACAAAGAAGAAGTACTTTACAATAAGGGTAGCATGGCAAGGAACAGTTTTCCCAGAGAGGTGGTGGATGCCTTGTTCTTGGAGACGTGGAAGGTTGGGCTGGATGGGGCTCTGAGCAACCTGATGTAGTTGTAGATGTCCCTGCTCACTGCATAGGTGTTGGAGTAGATGACCTTTAAAGGTCCCTTCCAACTCAAAAGATTCCATGATTCTATGATTCTATGTGCGCAGCTAGCTTGATGCTCCATTTCAAAATGTTTACCAAATGATATCTTATAGCAAAGTTCATACTCTGCACTGAGAGATCCCATTAGGCTATATGTTCCTGTAATCACTTCCATTGTGTTGCTTTGAGCACTTTTCCAAGAAGAGGAACTGGCAGGAACACTAACCCAGCAGCCCATCAAAGCACCAGGAGCACACCCTACAAAAACTCAAGACACCATCTGGTTCTGCAGAAGGTCTGGTCTTTCCATATTTGAGGTAAAGAGTCCCATCTCAGAATTTCCACAAAATTCGGAATATTGAATTCTAGCTCTCATTTGCAACCCAACAGTGTGATACAGTCCATCTTTCAGGATGCTTATGATGATTCTTGACATACAGTTCTGGCTTGCAAGCCCCTTCCCCATGAGTAAAAAAAGGGCCGTGTATGGTATGAGTATTACTGGTCACATCCTGAACATAGTGTCAATAGGAATGAGGCCAACAGTCTACATGGATTTTTTATCGCTCTGAGTTCCAGGATATTGATTTGAAACTTCTCATTCCCAAAGGGCTATTGGCTAAGCTGACACTTCTTGGGGTGATGGATGTAGCAGAAGAAAATCATGTAGAAAAGAAAAACAGAGGAACAACCACTTGCATATTCTGGCTGGGTTTTCTCACTGGCGTGGGAGTATCATTTCTCACACTCGGGTGTCTTTTTCTAGGACAGTTCAAGACAGGTCTGATTCCTAGAATGTCATGGGATAGACATATGTTGCCACGTGCCTCCTGAAACTATGAAGCATTTCATTATAAGAAACATGTGATGCAAGACTGTACAGCAATGTGCAACAAACTCCCTGGTTGCAATCACTGCCAGCATGTTGTTAACATTCCCACCATTATGACACCTGCGAAGAGGAGGCTTTTGTGTAGGTAATGGCTCTGTCCTACCATTAAAGCATTACCAGGCTATGAAGAAATCACCATCCTGAAGCTTCCAAACCCTACATCATGATGGGAATATGATATCAGCAGCTGCATGAGTGCTACATGTGGATCCACTAATCTGCCACAGAGCTGCGGGAAGAAAGACGGTCTCAGTCTTAGAAAGGGAATGCACACCAGGTCAAAAGTGCCAGGGATGTAATAGAAGAAGAACTTGTGTGTCTTGATGCTAGTAGAGAGAGAGGAAGTAGGCGACCACTGACTTCGGGCTTTGGTTCCAGCAGTGTGAGCGAGCTGTAGTTTCTGCAGCCAGCTCCAAGCCAGTCAGTGAATCCAGGGGCTGCAGCACCTCAGTATCCGCATGGCAGTGCAGGTAAAAAGCTGGAACAAGGGCTGCCCATACTTACTGCTTCTCAAAGGCTGTCACAGGGATGCAAGATCACTGGTTTGGGAAAAGAAACAAAGGACCTGACATGGCAGAGATTTCCATGTGTCAGAGTGCACAGTTAGGCTGAGTGTCTTCATGAGAAGCCCATGATGGATCTGTAGCTCTCCGCCCTTTTGGGTCCCAGGATTAAGAGAGAATTTATTTGATACATGCTCTCACCAAGGCAACAGAAATATTTGCTGGAGCCTGACCGACACATGTTGGTGGTAGAGACCTGGAACGCAGCTTTGGAAGAGGCATCAGTGTGGTGAAAAGATAAAAGCTGGCCAGGGGGGAAACGTAATCATAGTGGAAATAGAAGGAAATAGAGAGAGACTAATGAACTGAAATGGCACTGGATGTACTCTACCCTATACTGCCACCAGGGAGGAAGGGCACAATGTCAGCACTTCATTTACAGAACTCCTTGTGCATACACCCAGGAACATATCTGTAAGTAATCACACCCCGTTAGACCAGAGGCAAAGAGTAGGATACAATCTTTTGTTGCTTGCTGCTTGCTACTTCTGCTAAAAAGTACTGAGCATGTTTTCTCTGCTACCTCTTTCACAGCAGGGCTTAAAGAAGTAAAACTAAACAATTTTTTTTTAATTTATTAAAACAATCCAATAATATAAATGGAAATATTTCAGTTTTTTTTTTTTCTTTAGCAAGACCCGAAGTAAAGAATTATTTAGAATGTTTTCTTTTTTTTTTTTTTTTTCTATCTAGATTTTAATTTTATTTATTTATTTTAACACAGTGCCAATGCTGAGAAGTATTCTTGGAACTTTCAATGTCACAACCATGTGCTGCATCACAGACTTATTCTTTAGTTTGTTAATTTTCAAAAATATAAACCAAACAGAAAGAAAAAAACCTAAGTGGTAATGCATTTGTCAGAGATAAATAAAGTTGAAGACAGCTTTATGTTGGAGGCAAAGTTTCCACAAGCTACTGCCTTCATCATCAAAAGCACTGTATGGTTATTGAATAAGGCCTGTAATGACAATTCCTCTACCTCTTCAATGCAATCTGTATCCTGTGAAACACTAGAGGAAGGGGCTCTGATGATCATTTACTGTTGAGGACTGGCAATCTGCAGAACAGAGTTCTTTTCCCAGCAAGAGGAAAGAACTTCCTCAGGTGGAAAGACTGGGCTGGTAGAGAAATCCTTGTAAGAAAGGCGTCACAGCTCCTCATCGCAAAATCAATGAAAATAACAAAGAAAATCAGTAACGTGAGATGATGTTACTGAGTGAATAGGCTTTTAATGACTCAATCCTGACACAGCCTAATTCAAAAAATGTAAAACTGAGGAATACATTAGAAGTACTGAGAGAAACGCAACCGCGTAATGACCACAACTTCTTGGTAAATCACAGTGGCTGCTAACCATAAATATGACACAGCACTGAAACAACAACCTTTAGCCTGTGAAAGCTATGAAGGTATTTTTGGGAGCTGTAATCACCAACAATCATGACAAAATACCCTTTCCATAGTAAATAGCTCTTGGTGAGAGCCGTTTATTTCAAGATAGTGGGAATATAAACATTGAATATATCTGAAAGAATTGATTCTGGAGGATAAATATTCTAGTAGTTAGGTTCAAAATGTGCATCTCTGCACTTAGTGTTCTGTACAACAAACAGAGCAGAGCAGTTCTTGTCATTTTGAACATAAGCATTAAATCCATGTGAACAATTTATTAGTTCCAATAAAATCAAAGAGCAAAGAATTATTCAAAACAAAGTTTCCTGTGTTGCAAGCATAATCTCCACTTCAGCATAATTTCAAATGCTGTCCTATTTTCCCTAGACAAAGAAAACAAGAACCAGTCATCATTTGCACTTTTTGGATTAAAAATCTTCTCTCAAAATTGCTGTGGCTTTTTAATTTCCATTTCAATCCATTATCATTAAGGCATTAAAAAGGCTGATGGCTTAAAGTTCCTCTAAAATGCTTTCAAATTCTCAGTCACTGGGACATCAAATGATTTTCTAAAATGCAGTTTTAAAGAGGAAAGAGACAGAAAAGAAGCAAAGAAAAAAAGAAAGCTCAGAAAACCTGCCGCATGTATGGAGAAGCCTTTATAATTAACACACTATTTTCTCCAGAATTCACAGCCACTCTTAAAACAAGAGAAGAGAAGAAAAAAGTACCTTATTGAAAAAAGCTGTAAATAAGTTGGACTCTTGAGTCAGCAAGGTATCTAAGAATGTGGCTAACTTAAAAGCAAATAAACAGTCATAAGCAGTGTCAATTATCATTAACATTTTTGTTATCAGGATTCACTCTTTCGCTAGACACCAGATTAGCACTCCATATATCAGTGGAATCTCACCAACTTGAACTGGCTGAGCACATAACCAAAATACACCAACCTATAGATTTTTTCTTAACAATAACTCCTCTCTCCATGAGAATGTGCCCATTCCACCAAGAAACCCCCATACCCATTTAACACAACTGGCAAATTTGCTGAACAGGTTTTTTTGCTCCCATCTATAACCTGATTCAGAAAGACAAAGGTAGAGCAAAGAATGGTACAAATCTGCTAACTTCTGCAAGGCTTTTTTGGAAGGATGGAAAAAAAAAGCAAACAGTAGGTGACGGCTGCTTTTAGATTATATGCAATATCTGTCTGAACACATATTTAGAGGCATAGGAAGGTGTACTAGCAACTCTCACACAAGAGCAAGATCAGGCTCATGAAAATCTGCTTATTTTGGCTAAATAAAAAGGCGTGGGAAAAGGAAGACCTTGGGAGAGGTAGTTTTTAAATTCACCTAAAAACACGTAAAGCAAAAGCAGAATTTCATTACTGTCATAGACATTATTCTGTGGAACTCTAAAGATGACGGATAGTTAATTCAAGAAATGACAGCATGTCCTTCTCAACAAGGAAACAAGGGAGCGCATGCTCACTACAGAAGACTGGGATAAACTCTCGATCTTTGAATGATCCTTGCTGACACTTCAGGCAGACCAGCGTTGGCCAGAGCCTAGCTTCACTATCTTCCTTGGCAAGTAATTGCCTTTAAAAGACCACGTTGACAGAGTGAGCCCCAACACCAGGTTATGCCAGGCATGCTGCTGCTGGCTGCAGAGCCAGTTGTCACACCTGTGTGATGAGATGGGAGGCAGAGCAAAACACAGACACCCATTAGTTTGAGGCTGAAAAGCACTACTGTGCACAAGCAACATTCTACGTGATCTTTAATTGCCCTTCTGAGGACCAAACCACCCATTTCTTTCAGCTGTGGAGCAGCAGAGAGAAAAAATATCACTCAAAATCTGAAATGTGAAACAACACATGCCATCTTACCTTCCAAATGTTCTGTGGTAACCAGTCCTAATGCTACCATGAAGGCAATTTTCTATGGAAAAAATAAACAGGGGTTAGATTTGCTACTGTGACAATCCTGGTAGAAGTAAGTAATCTAGCACTGATAGAATAAGACTAATAAAGGTCTTTTGGAAATGTCTATTACCTAAATGCATATGAAAAAGCAATTCAAGATTTGCTTTAGATATGCCTGGTCAATCATGCCCTACTTGTAGAACTGTAAGTAGTGTTCAGAGACATAAGGCCAGTGCTGTATGAGTGCTAATGCTGCACAAAATCCAGTCAATTCAATTTCATATTGCTAGTTGCATTGTTACTCCATACTTTTGAGAAGTGATTGTGTATTATTGTCACTGTCTGGACCTGACACTGTTTTTACTGGATATGAGCAAGCTGTACTAAGAAAATATGACACACACTTTCATTGAACTTTACAATACTGTACATCTGTTAATAATCAAGAAGACATTAGAAGCACAGTTTCCCAACAGAGACTCTCCTAATTAGTCTTTCCTAATTGCAGCCTTTCAGTACCTAAAGAGAGCCTACAAACAGGAGGGAATCAACTCTTTGAAAGGGTAGATAACAGCAGGACAAGGGGAAATGGTTTTAAGTTGAGGGAGGGAAGATTTAGGTTGGATGTCAGGGGGAAATTCTTTACAGAGAGAGTGGTGAGGTGCTGGAACAGGCTGCCCAGAGAGGTTGTGGATGCCCCGTCCCTGGAGGTGTTCAAGGCCAGGTTGGATGGGGCCCTGGGCAGCCTGGTCTAGTATTAAATGGGGAGGTTGGTGGCCCTGCATGTGGCAGGGAGGTTGGAGATTCATGATCCTTGAGGTCCCTTCCAACCCTGGCCATTCTGTGATTCTGTGAACAGAACAGTTCAGAAATTGCTCTTCCCAAGTTACAGAAAAAATATAACATGAATGAAATACAAATACACACTCTGATACCTTCCCCCACTGGGGAGTGAACAAATACCTTGCACTAACAGTGGTGAACTCACTTGACAGCAGGGCATGTGATCTAAAATTCTTGTACATTGTATACAAACAAAACACATTTGAATACCAACAAAATTTCAAAACATAGCTGTGCAGTAATAGGGCAAGTAGTAGAACAGACTTACATTTTGTGTCACTGATTTCTCATTGGGAAATTCTTCCTGGCAGAAAAAGTTCTGCTGAATCAGAAATTCCTTTTTGTCCATTCTGTTTTCTTAAATGGAAAACTGAAATTTTGCTATGTAGTTCCTAGCCCAAACTGAATTGAACTCTTGGTTTCTAGTCAGACCCAGGATAACACAAAGCCTCCCTTCTGTGCTGTTCTGAACAGCCTTGTTGGGCATGTTACACAGGTGGTATTTTCACCAGGTGCTATTCCACAGCAGAGATGATCTAACTTGAAAACCCAAGCTATTAGGAGCACAGGCAAGCAAAACTCACAATCCAACTATGGCAAAGAACTCAAAGATCATTGGAGGATTTAATCATCATGCTCACCCAAAATAAAATGAATAGATTTAGGTTGAATTAACTGGAATGTTTAAGTAGCACAAGGTCAAAACGTTCTGTTTCAACCAGAGAAATGTCAGAAGAACACATTTCAACAGTCCCAAGTCAAAATTAATTTGACCATCTTGTTGATGAAAAGTACAATGATTCAACTTTCAACCCAGGATAAAATCAACTAGTAAGTCACTTTCATGCATCAGTATAAGGAAGCACATTTTCATTTTGGAAATGAAGGATCCAGCTAAGGAGTGGGTTCTTCAAAAATTAGTGGGTGAGGATTGGATATCCATACTGTTCTTCCATCTATGAAAATATCTACATTCAGGAGATGAACTAACAAAGCCATAAAAGGAATACTGTCATTCCATGATCCCCTAGTATGTAATTCCTCCTGTAGATTAAATAAATGACAATTTAAAACCTAATCACCAGCAATTTAGATGGGACGCATGCTATATTTCTGCCTTCCATAACTCTGGTAATGACAAGCACATGTACATATGCATGTCACACCCTGATTTCATTAATGCTCTCTCCGTACATGTCTAAAACACCAGCTACACACAGTGGGGATTCCACATGTGAAGGGAAAGATGAATATTTGATCTGAGACCCACTGTGAAGATCTGAGAAGAAAATTTGTCAATTGAGTAGAATTACAAGCTTCTCTTCACCCCTACTGAAAGTAACTTTGTGGCAGGATACGTCAGCACTCTGAACAGAAGTGATAGCAACGTTTCAATACAGAATTAGAGTGTTGAAATGGTTAATGTGAAATTGTATTTTCCCAATGGAGCATAGATTGTCTATCTTACCCAAAGATCAGGCTGTAAAGGGAGCATGTATTTTCTGACATCTAAACTAACATTATTTGTGTACAGGAACGCTTGCTAAACAATTTTCTCTCTTTATACTAACAATATTCAAATATATATCTAATTAAAAGTAATGACAGCATACTTGCTTAACATACGAAGAGCTTTCATAAATGGACTTGATAATTATCTCACTATTAAAGAAAGGAAGCATTAGCTTTTACAGTTGTTTGAAAGATGGATTCTTTTTAAAGGATTCAGTAAAAGCTGCATTCATTTTAACAAGCATATTATATTAACAGCATCTTTAAAATGGGTTTTGCTATTTCATGCTCATGCAGCCCATTGGATTAAATTCAAAATACTGCTTCCACTGCAGAGCTTTGCTTTCAAGTACCACAGAGTAATGGCAATGCAATGCTGTTTTTTCTCTGCGCAGGAATCCACTAAACTGATCCTTTAGTTTTTTCAGCTTTTTAATCACTAGCATTTAGTCCAAAATAGCAATGAGTATCTCTTTGTCCTTGTTAGATAGAATTAAAATCACTGTTAGCTAAACAACCAGCATTTCTGGCATTAATTTTTCTTTCAAATAAAAAAATGCTAGAAATCTACCAGAAATGTAACATTTTACTGACACACAAAATGAAATGCAAAATGCTTTGTGCAATTCTGACCGTCTCTTTCTGTACTAAACTCAGTAAAACAACAACAACCACACACTAATGACACAAAAATAACAGAAGAACTGCTCCCTAGCATAATTCCTTAATTTCTAGCTGGGGTCGGCTTCCCAGCAGAAAGTTCAAGGCAAGAACAAAAGACAGCCAGCATCCTCAATCTCTTGTTTGTTTAGGAACTCAGGAATTGCAGATGGAACTCCTGGCTACTGGAAGGTCTGGTTATTTCTGGATTATTTATTTTGAATTTTAAATGCAATTTGTTCAATCCCAGTCTCTCACAACGGACATACTGAGACATATTGAGACATACTTGAGTTCCTGCCTCAGTTTTGTGCTTTGAAGACAAAGGTGTGGAGAGAAATGCCTAGATTGCTTGTTTTCCTTAAGAAAAGATCACAGCATCTTTGTTACTCTTTGTCTCAAATTTAATCATCTGTTAAACAGCCATGACTGCTTTTAGAAATATGCAGTATTATGTCTTTTCACAAAGCAAAACAAAGATTTTTACAAAACCATTTCATTTGATAATTGCGTGTTCTATTTATGTCATTACATGTGTTTACACTAATTATGTTGTTAGCTCTAATTACACTAATTGCTCAAATACATTATAATCAACTAAAGTTTACTTTCAAAGAACAAAAGAAAGTAACTCTAGACCTACATATTTATGACTCTAAAACGAATCTAAGAAAAGAAAAAAAAAAAAAAAGGTCATACTTAAGGGCATGGCTTCAGCATCCTACCAGAAAAACGTGCTTGCTGAGGCCTCCTGTATGTACTATAGGAACAGTGATCTTGGTTACAAAAAGGCAACCAAAGAGACCATTGACACCAGGACATACTTGTTAGCAATTTAACAGAAAGCTCATTACATTTAAAAATGCTATATAACAACATGTGTCAGGTGGTCTCTTCCTGCATCCCTCTGGAAGATATTTGCTTAATATACTTTTGCAGGGGATAAGTTATGGGCAAAGAAAAGATGAAGTTTTTCCTAGAATTCTTTTTCAAGCAGAATCTACCCACCAGGTAGATTCTGCTTGAATTTTTCTGCCAACCAGGTGCTGCACAATAATAATAATTTGGAAACACTTCTCTAAAGAAAATAGATTCATGTGGTCCCATCATTCAGTGACAATGAAGATTCATACAAAAAGTCAGATTTTAAGCTGGGGAGATTTTGTAAGTGTTGTTCAGCAGGGCTTCTGCATAAAGCTGTGACATTCCAGGCCAGAAGTCACAATATTTATTCCTTAACAGTCTTTTAAGTATACAAGCCTCTCAAAATGGCAAAACAAACTACCACTCACACTGCTCACATAACATTAAAAACTTACATTGCAATAGTCCTCTTATACCTACAGCTCCAAGGATGCCTTCTTGCTACAAGCATATTAGACTAACAAGGTTAGGATGTCATGTGATCTGAGCATTTCAACATCAGAAGTAAATTCAGCTGGCATAATTTCTCAAATTGCCTCAGAAGTACACACAATCTAATTTGAATATATCTAGTAAAACCAAAATGCCTGTTAAACATAGTCTCCATTTCTACATCTTCTGATTTGTATTTTTCATTTACATAGTAAATATAGCTCATGAAAGAGTTTTAACCCTATAGCCTGCTTTTTATTCAGAGAGAGAACATGCACGTCGGATGGCAAGCACGCAGCAAATGCAAGGAAATATGTTGCTACGTGCAATCTAGAGATTGTAAATTCATTACAAAGAGAACAAACACATAAAAGATCAGCTTACAGAAAGAAATATTAATTTGATCTCATATACAGCCTGTAAAGCTGGCGTTAGTTATTTGCTAGCATAAAATAAAATATTATCAGCTTGTATATGTCTTTTAGAAGAAATACGACTATATTCATACAAGGTGCCTGGATCATTGTAAGACCTACAATTCTTACATTCTGTGACAATGGAAGATTTGAATGATGCAAACCAAAATTGTCAGAGCAGCTCTCTTGGGCAGGAATCACTCCATTTGCAATGAATCACAAGCACAAATACAGTAATTATATATGCATGCAGAAAAGTGTTTAGAAATGGTCTCTAGAATTCAACCATACTGTAACACATTTATTACAATAATAATAATAAAATAAATCACCTCTGGATTTTCCTCCTTTTTCTTTTTGGTAGCAGGGGGTCCCTGAGCTGACTCTTCAGGAGGTTTCTTTGTCTCCACTTTACTTTCTGTCTGGGTTTGGACTTGAGGCTGAATAATGATAACCTAAAAGACAACATACAAATAAAAGATCAGAATTCACTACACGAAACTGGAATTTTCTGCCTCAAACTTGATTCTTCACAGAATGGTTAGTTGATACCTATGTATATAAATGCAAATCACAAGTCAGTTGTATCAAGAACTAGATACCTAGCTTAGGTCTCTAAATCTCTACTAAACTTTCCACAAATTAATCTTTATAGATGCATCATAAACTAGCAGCAGCCTAAGGGAGCCATTTGACATGAACATCTCTGCAAATCAGGACACTGTATTCAGAGGGCTACTGAAGGTGTTTTAGTGGCCTAAATTTACTATCCAGGTTGTCAGTGATTCTAAATTGTTTCCTTTAATTCACTTCACATACACATAGAAGAGATGGAACTACTACACATTCTAAGTAATAGCCTGACCTCAGTCATCTCAGTGTTATTTCAGAGTAAGTACACATGGAGTGGAGGGAAGGTGCTCCTCAGTAATACTGTTGTAACTGAGATCAGAGTTGAGTCCTTAGTATTTATAGATTATGAGTGGTAGACATCCAGTTTTGCATAAACAAAGTAAAATATACTTTTTAAATTAGAATTAATTGAGTTTTAGAACCTTTGCTATAGGAATTACTACACAGATTTCTTGTGCATGCATCTAATACTGTCTGATTTACTACATAAAGATTCACAGTTACAAATAACATTACCTCACAAGGCATTAAATTAAAAGAAAAGAAAGACAATTTTTGATGCCAGAACTACACATGTGACTTTACACCCATAATCAAAGCTTCATAGAGGAGTATGGAAGTTTCCCAAGGTCACCTTCTTGATGAAAGGTATTGGATTTCAACATGGAGTCTCTTCCATCTAATTGCTAACCTTCAACCAATTTATTTAACTGTCATATATGAGTACTTGTTACTCGAAAAGACTCAATAGCATGAAAGGGTATTTTTTTTAACCAGTAGCTAGTTTGAGAAAGAAAAACAAATAATTTTAGAGAAGTATGGAAGAGATGCTTAGTTTTATTTATTCACAAACCATACTGCATCCTGTATTCTTTGTTAGTTCTGTATGAGAACCTGTGCTGCCAATAATATCCAGAGCAGCAGGATCCTAGCAGCAAATTACAATGAATGTCTGCTGGTTATATTGGCAGACTTTATTGAATCTATTTCTGGGACACAAGTGGTGAAGTTCTTGTATTTCAAAGCTGAAAAACTGTACAAAGAGGAAACAATAAATTTATAACTTGATTTTTTCCTACTGATCTGTTGATCAGTTTTGAAAGTCTGATCTCTCATTTCATTCGGCTTGCCCCTGGAAAAGTAGAAGGGAATGCTTGGTTATTTGATACACTCCCCTGAGACCAGTTGATATAACTGATATCACCATATAATTGAAGAAGGAGTCCATAGGACATTTGAACCTGCACAGAAATCAGAAATATTAATAAGAAATGGTTTAAGAAAAGGGAAGATCATAATGTCAAGTTACATACTGATGCATTTTAATCCCACTAAAAACAAGCTATTTACACTGATAAATGTTTACTGGCATCCATGTGTCCTGCTAAGGATTTTCTCATTGCTTTCTGAATATTTCCTTTCTCAGAAACCACTGGCACTATTCCATACAGAGCTGTGCAGGACAAGGGGGACAGGCACTTACTGGAACGAGTCCAATTACAGGCTATCAATAAACTCAAGCAGTTCCGTGAGGAAAGGCTGAAACAGCGGGCCTTGTCAGCCTGGAGAAGAGGACGCTTCAGGGGATCTATTCAACATGTACAAATCCATGAAGAGAAGGTAGACAGAAGAAGGAAGTGGGCTCTTCTCAATGGTGCCCAGTGCCAGAATCAGAGCCAATGGGCACAAATTGGAGCAGAGGAGGTTCCCTCTGAATACCAGGAAGCAATTCTCTGCTGTGCAAGTGTCAGAGCATTGGCACAGGTTGCCCAGAGTTTGTGAAGTCTCCTCAGAAATCTCCAGAAGCCACATGGATGTGGTCCTGAGCACACTGCTCACGGTGTCCCAGCTTGAGCTGGGACGCAGCAGAAATCCCTTCCCACCTCAGTGATTCTGTGAACATCCTGCTCACATCTGCATCATAATTCCCTTGTTTGGCAACTTGAAGGCAGCAAGAAACTGAACCTACCTTGCTATCGGTGCTGATGAGGAGTGGCTGCACTTTGATGCTGTCATTGACCACAGAGACAGTAGCGCTGGTGCTGATAGGGGCTGCATTGCTGGGGGAGGTGGAGATGATGGCGTAGGCCACACCGGCACTGCTCAGAGGTGATGAGAGAGGGGTAGGATCGGTGACGCTCTGTGCCTGGCTGTTAGGCGTCTCTACATGGCTGACGGTGTTGTTGGCAGTGGGGAGGGCAGGGCTGGGATTTTTGATGCTGACGACGGTCGCCTTTTGGAAGGTTGGAGGCTGCTTGGATGGTTGGTCTCTGCATGGGGAAATAGGGAGGCTGTCTGGAATCAGGGTCTTTGGCCTAACCTGAAAAAAAAATTAGATGTTATTGGGCATAATCCAACATATGGGATAAACTCTGCCCATAGACTAAAATTGTGTTAGCCATGCAACAAGAGCATCTACAAAAACATAACACTGCAACTCCAGGTTTACAGCTATTCATTTGCCTGTAGATGTATTCCCTCCACTCCTCAACTGAGCCACTCTGTAGTCCCTAACTCATTGCAATGCTGAACAAGAAGGGAGAAAAAAGTCAGTCCCACCCTTTTATTAGCACACATCCATACAAGTTACTTGAGCCACATTTGGTTCTCAGTAAGGATGTTCCATCCAAAGCAGAAAGGGAGAAAAAAAAATGCCCACAACTGCTGAACTTAATATTTTGTTGCTGTAAGTAAAGAGTTGATTCACTGTTGTGGGTGAGCACAGAAGGCACTTCCATGGATGGAGGGGAAGCCATTTGCCAGTGTTTGTGCAGGCTGCACCTTTACATGGAACAATGAATGATAGCTGAAAACAATAGTTTCCAGCTAATGTGATGTGTTTCCAGTGGAGTAATTAATGTCAGCCTGTCAACAGGGCTCTGACTGAACAACGTGGTAACTACAGTTCTAGAATTGAAAATAAATAATTTAAACTGCTTCACATGAAGTTAACTTCACTCCTGGCTTATTCGTTAACATGGCCACATAAAGCAGCTGGCTCCTTGTGTACTTATTTCATCCTGTCACTTCTCGCACCCTCCATACTGTGAAACAAAATGACAAGCTGCAGCAGACAGGCACTGGAAACAGCTGCCTGTGCCCTTCCAGTTCTGCTGCATCCATCCTCCAGCCTTAGTACACCACTGAATGAAAAGACAGGGATGTACTGATGTAGGGAAAATCACCTCTCAGGGCTGGCCATCAACCTCTGTCAAGGAGGAGCCATACCCATATCTCAAGAAGAATACTTGCGACATGTATTTCAGCTCTTTGTGTTTCAGTAGCTTAGCCCTCAGTTACCACTTGGTCCTAAATTCAATGAACAGTACAAATATGCATCAGAATTACAGTCCATCTTAGGGGTGTATGAACTACAAGCAATTAAGGCAAATGGAAAGTGAAAAAGTAAGTCGAGCCAGGCTGGAGGCCATGCCCAAGCTGTGGCAACAGATAAGCAACAAAGCTGGAAACCAGGATGTTCACTCACAGCTTTGGATTGACACTGAAAGGACTTTCAGATGCAAAATGTCTCAAAACCACACTAAACTAGGACAAACCACACTCAAGATATTCTGACAAGAACCCAATTTTATTTATTTATTTATTTATTTATTTGCTATTTTTCCTCTATTCAGTGAGTTCAGATTCACACATTTAACATAGGGATTACTTAATTTACTTAGTTAAGATACCAGACAAATATCTTGTCCAAGATATTTTAGACAGGAGTTTATATTTAACTTCATAATGACAACTTGGTAATGATCTAATTTTCAAAAGCAATGCCCAGAGGTTTGGTTTAAAACCATCTTCACTCAGGCATTTCACAAAACTAATGCTTCTTACATGAAAAACCGCCCAGTGCAATCGCAGCATGAAGCAGAGACAGACACTTAATGCACCTTGTTCATGTCTGGATCAGTCAATTACACAAGCAGATATTGTAATATCTATTTTTACACTTTCATAATAATACCATTTTCCCTCCTATACCTTATGTAAGTCTCTCATATGTAAGCCTTTAACAAGCTGTTCAAGCCCATGTGCTCAGAGACACGTTCACAGAAATAGTGCCATTATTCAGAAGAAGTCTGAGACGCTTGGCAAAATACAGTTAAAATGTATTCTCTCAGCCAAAAAAAAAATTGAAATTTAATTCTAAGCTGTCTGGCAAACTTCTAAATGTTTCTATTTCTTCTTCAATGTTTTTTAATTGTAAATTAATGCAACACCAGTTACCAGCAGAAATATTGCAAGCACACAAACAGATAAGCTCACATACACAGAGAGTGAGAGAGAGAAAATAAATAGTAGCTCTCAGATCAAAGACTCAATGTAGCATTCCCTGAGAAATAATCAAGTCTGATAACAAATCGTCTCAGTAGTTTTTTTAGCCAAAAACTGTCAGGCAGTCTATATAGATCTACTGTTATCTGTCACTGTCACTTGCATGTTTACATTTAATCAAAAGTCTACTGAAAATTAAGTTCCTATATATACTCTAACTCTATAGCTATCTTTTCTACACCATTACCTATATATATATTGATGAGTGTAATACTTCAACAGATTTTATACAGGCTTTTTATGCAATTATGCAAATTCTGCAAGTTGTGGATGTCTGCATATGACTTTCCTATATAATCAGATCTTCCTGCCCACTTATGCAGACTTAATATTTCAAAGTAACTTATTCCCTAAAAAGGTCTGTGTATTGATGTATCCAATACAATTTCTCAGTGGTACAGCACAAGAATCCAAGCTACTCTATGAGACTATGAAGAAGATAAGCTGGGCATTTTCTGCCACCTTGTGATACAAAGAAGGTATAGCGCTCTTCCTATTCCAAGGCTCCACAAATTCTCTGACAAATTCATAGTTGTGAAAGCACACTTATTACAGAGCAATTAAGAGTTGATATCGGGAAAGTTTAAGGTGCTCCTAGCACAAATTAAAGCAAAAATAAGTTAAAGTTTAAACAGTATTTCTTTCCACAGCCCACAGACATGGATCCAAAAAAAGAAAACATGCGTAGAAACCCCTTCCTATCCACAGTGCTCTAACACCTATGAATCGTAGCACTGAGTGTTAAGTGTTCAGTAGTGCTGAGGGGAAGATCTCTAACAGAGTTCACATTATCTGCTACAGTAATAAGAATAAACTGTGTCAATTGGGAAGAAAAAAGATAAAGAGTGAGCTAACAGATTCCTTCCCTGCACTGCAAAGCAGTCGTCTAAGAGTCATCAAGGAACAGGAGAAAATATAGGAGCAGAGTATGGACTGTCTTTTACATACAAGATGATGAAAATCCTCTTCCACTGCAAGTAGCACAGGTTGCATGGTACCAGCCCCCACCAGAAGTCATGGCAAATAAAAGGGGCCTAAGTTTGGAAGAGGAGAAGGGAAGAGGAAGAGTAACAGACAGCATGTGTGTCACAAAGAGAAACTGCAACTGTTTCTCCTGTAGCTCAACACTTCCTCTCCTCAAATATCTTTCATTTAACTTCTGACAGCTGTCAAAACAGAATGTGATACTACCAGGGCTATAAATGTAGTAGAGGAAGAGCTGATGCTTGAATACAGTGATTTCACAATGTCACGTTGTTCTCAAGTTTGCTCAATAACCTCGATAACAACAACATTTTATTTTAGGCAGCATTATTCAGACAACCATGGTATTTCTCAAGTAACCTGCAAGAGAAGATATTTCCAGACCTGGGAATTCATTAGGTGGCTTTTCAGACCGGCAAAAAACAGGGAGCCAGATCCAGTGAGAGATGCAGAGTGCTCTTTTGTTCAGCAACCTCTAATTTCATGTATTTTAAAGAGTTTGAGATCAGAAGGGAATCAGCTCTTGTGACTAGCATGCCTTCTTGAGCATCCCATATCATTAAACTCCATCTAGATGCCCCTATGTGAAGCCAAAGGCTTCCATTACACTGAAACATCATTCCAGTTCTCAAGTGCAGAAATTGTTGCATACCACAGAGGTGCACGTATGGCTAAGTGGCTGCAGTGGCAGAGCCTGATATGTGTCACCACTGACAGAATCAACTGTGATTATGGGCAATCTATGTCCTATCAGGTAAACCACTCCTGTGCTGTAGTAAAGAAAAAGGTAAAAAAGAAAAACCCTTACAAAACAAGTCTTCAAGACCCAACCCAAGCAAGTATGGGGGAGATGAGAATGAAAACACAATTATTCCCATCTCTGTGGGCAATGATATGTAGTCCTTTAGGACGGGACTTAATGAGAATTGTTATCTCTGTGCAGATCTGCAGGTTCTCTGAGAATTCTGGCAAATACATTGTCTTCGTGGCCCAGTGAGAAAGGAAAGATATCAAGAGAACTTCAATTACAAAAACCAAAAGAGATCATCATGATCCTCCAAGTCACGAAATGGCCATACAATTTATCCCAGAAACTGAAGTTTGATTTTAACAGAAAATATGAAGGACTTCTTAATGATGAATTCATCGTCAGCCCCAAAAACTTCTAATATTTTATCATGCTTGCAAATGGCATTTTATTGCAAGGTTGAATTTTGCCTAAGTTCAGCCTCCAGTCCTGGATGTTGCTATAGCTTTGTCAGCAGCACTGAAAAGCCCTCCCCCTTCCCAGTACTAGATATAAGCTGGATCGTGCTCAGCATCAATCAGCCCCTCATACTGGCAGGGGCGATATGTATGAGAGCAAATTTTTCAGCTCAACGCAATATCACATTGCCTTTGAGAGAAAGACCATTATTCACACTTTATTTTCACTTCACCCTTGTACTCGGAGCTTAAAAACAAAAACTCAAAATGTATTTGGCACAATTCATATGTCACAGAGGCAAAGTGCTGGGAGCAGCAGACAGAGCTTTCATTCTTGAAAAGCTTTAGAGGATCACACAGAAAACATTAGCTATGGCTGATAAAATGATTGCAATATGGGGTAATTATAACCTTCACCAGAATGAACAGATGCACAGTGACTTCAGTAAAGCTGTATCTATTTATGTCAGCTGAGGACTGACTTTCTCCGTCTTTTTTTTATATCAATAAAAATTGGGCAGAAAAACAGGTTCTTCATAACTTCACAGTAATGACATACCCTAACATCCAGCAGACCCAAATAAAAGCATTTCTACTTTTATTGATTTTTAGTATCTTTCTTGATTAGCTTCTGTTGTCGTCAGATTGGTCTGATCACAGTCAAAATAAACACAGATTATTTTCTTGCCACAGTGGCAAGATTCAAAAACACAAGTGACTGCAGATCCACATGGACTTTTCTTCCTTCCCATTGATGGAGACTCACAAAAAAAAAAGTTTTAT